GCAGGGGATCTGACACCTGCAGGAGGGAAAAGGTCACTGGTCCATGCGATCGGGTTTCCAGACAGGAGGGGTGGAGACCAGTACAATTCCACGTGCTAGTGTGGTCCCAGGTGTGCCCAGCCTGAGAAATCATCTTTTCTCCTGGAGCCACACAGTGCACGTCAGGAGGCAGACGACCTCTGTATCCGGTCGCAGGAGGAAGTCCTCAGACTCAGCTTCGATCCTGCTTGGATGGCATCCACTTGCTGTTCCGGGCTGTTGCGACCTGGCTAGGAAGCGTGAAGGAGGTTTTAGGTACCACTTTCTGATTTTCTCAGACGGAGAGGATTGGCAGGAAGGAAACACGGAGGGAAGAAATCGATACCCTTGTCAGGCTATAGAGGCTACGGGGGAGGCCCTAGGTGTGAGGCAGAGGAGCCGAACGTCTCTTGTTTATGCTAGCGGGGTGTCTGTTCCTGCTTACAAGGTGAATGTGAACTTCGGAGGACGGGCAGCATTTATTTTATCTTCATCTTCACCTTTTTGTTGATATCGCTGATGCTTCAAGTCATTTAAAACAAATTAGCTCCTGTTTATCGGTCCCACTTTAACTTGTTTTCCTTTTCCCTTTCTTGGTTTGCAGCTTCTGCTTCAGGGAAGGAACCCGGGCATCGCCTGGGAGTACTCGGTGCCGCGGCGGGCGGGTGAGAGGAAGCTCGGCGTCCAGCCCAGCTACACGTGGGCCACCGTCCGCTCCGAGTGCTCCGTCTCCTGCGGAGGGGGTAGGTCGCTTCTCGCCGCCGTCCTGGTGGTGGGCACGGGGCGGTCCGCACCGGTCCTCCTTGCGCCCCAGGGGGAGCCCAGTGGAGAGCAGTGGTGCCGAGCATCACCGAAAGCCTGAGCCACTCTCTCCCATCCAGCTACGTCAGCGTGTGGCCTCGAGGAGGCGGCTCAGTGAACTGGCTTCTGCTTTTCATCTAACAGAAGCTCTTTTAAGGGTAACTTTGCTATCTGAGATTACTCAGATCACAGTCACACAAGTGATTATATAGCTCATGTTGGTGAGAAGCAGACACTTGCTTGGAAACTACAGTGGTCCAGGGTGAGGTTTTTATCAAACGGCCTTCTTCAAAAGTATTGGAAAGGAATCTGCTGTAAAGTTATATACCTAAATTCACTCAGAAAGTGTAAGAATTTTAGGAAAGTTGTGGTGAAAATGACAAGAAACGATACGTCACAAAGAAGAATTTCAACTGACAGCAGATGGCTTTGTCGTGGTGATACCACAGCAATTTTAAGCCCATGTCTAAACTGATAAAGCCGGCTCACTAGGGGGACTTCCAGCCACAGCCAGTGTGTAGTATCTGGTGGAGAGCGGGGAGGAAATATTTGCACATTTAGAAACAAATTACTGAGTTCCATGTGACATAAAAACCAGACAAGTTTCCACATGGACAAATGGATTCAGCTTTGTGCATTCTGGGTTTTAGTAATTAAGAAATTAATTTAGACAGCACTAGATATTCAAGTAAAAGATAATGGCACATGAATGAGAATCGCACAAAGACTGTAAAGAATGAATAAGGAAAAAGTAAGTGAACTCATGCATTTACAGTTGCTCCAAATGAGATGGAGAAACTAAAGGAAAACAGAAAGAGTAACCAAAAAAAGAGTCTGAAAAGCTGACACTGCAAACCTGACATATGTTAACTCTTCCCACTGTGAACTAAGAATGAAATATTTAAATCATATGTAAATTCTGACATTAAATGCTTTCTCAGGAAAGGACAGAATTCCCTTCTGTCCAGCAGGGTGCAAGCAAAGGGCTCTAATGACCTAGAGAAACACGTGGGTGACCTGCCCCGGCCATGAGCCCACGCAGGAGAAAAAGGAGAGCAGAACCACATCCATGGGCATCTCTGGGTGCGACGTGGGAAAATCAGCCTCCATTCCTGCTCACTTCTGTCCTTTCCTCTTCTGCTCTTAGAGCCACGTCCCACGACTCTGTGGTCCACACTGGCTATGCTTGATTTTACCTGTCCGTTTAGAGTGTCTAAAAGCATTTGATTAGAATAATAGTCCAATTGTAAAGCCGTGTATTTATGTAGGGACATGACTTTGAGAACTCTCGCTGGTAGCCTTCCATTTGCTGAAACGCGTGTGCTGAGTCTCGTGGCAGCCCTGCAAGGATGGCTGGTCGGGAGCGTGCTCTGTCAGGACCGTTTCCCTCGTGCTTTCCCTTGAGAGCGAGTTACACAGAGGGAGACTCGGTTTCCTGTGCCGTGACCAAGTCGCTTGTCTCAGGATCCTGAAAACGCCGCATGGATGATCAGCGTGCTTGCACATCGCCTAACTGCCCCGAAAGAATGACTCTCACATTGTTTCTAGAGGAAAGCAACCCACAGCCCATTCCCTCATCGTTTGCCTGAAGGGTGGCTTGGCGGGGTCCACGGGGGGCTGCTGGTCTTCAGTGTGGATGGAACATTCCTGGGAGATCAGGGTTCCTCAGTCAACACCCGGAAGGCACGCGGGACGTCATCACCGTGTGTAGGATGGGGCTCTTCTGAACGATCCTCCAGTGGAAACCCAGGTGCCCTCAGCTCCCAGGACTCAGCACCTAGTCGGACTGTCGCTCACAGGCCCCGTGGGAGCGCCAGAAAGGGCCCTTTGGAAACCCCGTGGGCTTGCACTGAGGTGGACCCTCCTTGTCTCCTAAAAGGATGGAAGCACAGCCTCACTCTCCCTTCTCTCTCCTCTCGCGCGCCCTCGGGATTTTCTTATTTTCTGCACAAGCAAGAAGGGAATAAGCACCACGTCACTGGAGTTACTTGAGCGCCCGCTGTGTCTCGTCACATCCACGGCCCTGGGGAGCCCTCAGAACAGCTTGCAAGTAGGAGGACCCTGCACAGGCCAGAGGCCCCGGTCAGGTTCAGGTCCCCCTCATTTTATCTGCATGTTTGTATTTCAAAGATTTCTGCTTGCAGAGATCTCCCAATAACCTGGAATCTGAGCTTTCAGAACGTCTTTTACTTAACTCTCTTCTTGTGACTTTAATGTCCACAAGGAGGTCTTTAAAGGAACCAGTCAGGGGATTAATGAACGGGCAGAAGACACCTGGGAGTTCCCCCAGCTTTAGCGGAAACAGCTCCGGGCATCAGCCAAGGAAGGCCCCCGTGTCCTTGTCTGTTCTCGTGGGCCCATCACTCTACTGACGGACCCAGGGCATACGGTGCCTCGCATCCTCTTTTCTGGCAGCTGCCTCTGCTCCTTTTCCCTTTCCACCCACTTTTATGATCCAACCACAGCGGTTTATTTTGGGAGTCCTGCTCAGCTGTGCCCTGACAGGGGCACTGGGGACAGGGTGAGGACCCACAAGGTGGGACACTCAGCCCAGAGTATTGGAGTGGGGGTTAGGAAACACCTCAGCCGATCGTGTCCGACTCTAAGACAGAGACTTCTAGACGTGGCAGTGACCATGGAAAGGCATCAGCCATTTCTCAAAGTTACAGATGCTGCAGTTTAAAAAAAAATCAGCCTGTGATCCATCTGGTTCTGTGTATTTTGAATAGTAACTAATTCCAAACCTCTGACTTACTTCCAAGTGAAAAGACTTATTAAGACTTGGCTTATAGCTTTGTTTAATCTCTCCAATACGCAGCATCCAGTGTCTGGGGACGTTCATCTTCTTCCAAAAGAAAATGTTCTGATTCACAGTGAGAGCTCCTCAGGCAAATCGTGACGCTGGCCTGTGAGTCGAGCTCCCTTACGCTTTCCAGGCTTGTTCTCTTCACCACCGACAGGTATTTCTAGGGCTTAAACTTCAGTTAGTTTATCGGTTAGGTTTAGAACATGGGAGAAATATGAATTAGCAACCTTGCCATTGTTTTGTTGACATGAACACACTCAGTCATTCATCCAGTCACTGTTCAGTCAGCAAATGTGTATTGGTGCCAGTCTGAACCTCAGACTGTTCAAAACCACGTGGGGAAAATGTAGAGACCTTTGCTTAGTTCTCTCTGTCTCTGAATTGGATGATGGAACACCAGGGTCACTGTTGCTGAGTGGCTAATTAGCATCACGGCCAATTGGAACGTGGTGCCTCCGTGCATCCCAACCAAGGCCTTGAGACCTTCCACCCAGCAATTCCAGGCACGGTGCTGAGTTCTGAGTCTATAGAGAAAAAACTTACAGGCTGGCCCTGTCCTCAAAACCGTGTGGTCTGGAGGATGGAGTTATAACATACACATCTGTAACACGCGAGATTGTAAACTGTGGTGTGCAGAGGTCCATGAGAATTCAGAGGGGACCCCAGGAACATGGTGCAGAGAGTGACGGGTTAGCTGCATTTGAGCATCTGTCATAGTCAGAGGGGGAGGTCTGAGACAGCGCTCGAATATCCACACGTCATACCACTCATCTGATTGGCTAAAAGTCAGCTTACCTTTTTCACAGGAACCGCTTCACATTAGATCCACCCCCTATCCCCACCTTCCGAGCATCCTTATGTGTTCTGAATCTTAGAGTAAGAGCACATTTTATTTTGCAAAACTTTACCTAAAGGCTTGAGCTTGTCCTTCTAGGTCCCAGAGAGCAACTGAAATGATTCTGGCTTTTTCCTCCCTGCCTCGGGTCGCCTTTGAGCCAAGTTCATAAAAACACTTCTATGCCTTTTATGAAGACCCTGATAAATTACAAAATACACCCCCTGCTTTAGTCCCCCTGCCTCTCAAGAAAGCAGAGGAGAGAGAAAACAAGTTCATCCCCTGTAGAGGGGACGCTTCCCTGGGGAGCCTGGACTGTGTGCTGTCCACTCTTGTCCATTTCTTCAAGTGCCCCCCATGGTCCAGGGTGAGGTGGAGAAGCCATCTCGTCCACTCTTCCCAAGAACCAGGAACCCTTCCCTAGTCCCAGAGTCTCCCTGCTTCCTGCAGACCTCCCCTCATCAGGGGCATTGAGTTCAAGTCCTGTCCCAGGTCCAGCCCCTCTCACATGCCCACGGTGGCCACGTGGTCCCGGCAGGCTCCCCTCCCCTCCCCTCCCCTCCCGCGGTGGACGTGTGTGCACATGTGGGTTTCAAGTCCTGCTGCCTGATTTTCTGGTAACCAAACCTGGAACCTTAAAGATGCTAATACCTACAGCAAGGTGAGCGGCATGTGCTGCTGTCCTTTTGGACAGGTCAGTGCTGTCAGGGAAATGGGATAGTCGGGCCAGTTTCTTGCTAAGCAGAACAGACACACAAGGATGTCACAGACATCCGTAAATGACCATCATCACCACCCTCCAAGCTCTGGTGTGCTTTAGGGTGCCATGTGCACGGCATGACCATGCCAGGCAGAGCTGTCGCTGAAGCACGGCCAGGAATCACTTAGACCCTGAGCTGTTCCCAGGAGTTCACACCCACTCTGCTTTCCTGGAGTTACCTTCCCTCCTCCGCTTCCAGGGTCCTTCCACGTGCAGGCGTTACATGTCCGTGATACATTTAGCACTTGCGGCAGAGATGATGTATGCATCTCGTGAAAACACATGCTCTGTCTGTGGAATATTTTCCAGGTTTCTGTGTAGTCTTGCTTAAATGATTGGTTTCATTTCCTTTACAAAAGAAGAAAGCTTTTGGCAACAGTTGGGATTCATGCCATCTTTAGAATTACTGAAAACGTAGATTCTTTGATATAATCCCAGTCTTTAAAACTGAATACCACTCTTCCAGATACTGGGAAAATATGAAGATTTTTTTCAGTGATTTCCAAAGAGCTGGCCAGAGCTGGCTTCCGTAAAATGAATC